GGGGCGGGGCGGAGCGGGGATGGGGTGTTGAAAAGTTTGGAGGGAGTGCCAAGGGGAGTGTTTGGGTGCAGGTTGGCGGCAGCGGTGGTTTGATTGCCATGATGGATGGGTGAAGGCGTTGGGTTGCCGTGAGCACAAAGAGGATGGTAGAAATTAAAGGGGGCGGGGGGGGTCATGTGGCACAAAGGAGAAAAGGGGGATGCGAGATGGGGGCATGGGTTCATTCCAGGGAAGGAGGGGGAAGGAAATGACCAAATAAGGGGGAAGGGGGAAGGGGAGAGAGAAGTGACGAGAAGTAAATTAATGCATGGTCAACTGTCTGAGTCCAGAAGACAGAGAAAGACCGTTCATGAGCATGGATGGATGCCGCGGTACGGACAACCAAACGCACGGACGCCAATGGGAAAATGGAGCCGCTCAAACGAGGAACAAAGCGAGGAGACGCGCCCGAACCTTCGTGGGACGGAAGGCGGCGCTAACAAACAAGAGCCGACCGAGTGCGCGCGTGAGGCCGCCGTCCCGTCCTTTCCGCCGAGCGACCAAAGCAAAAACGTTTGCCTCGGCGGTTTCCGGACGTACCTTTCCGCACGTTCCCGTCGGTGGCTCGGAATTCCCTGGTGTTGAGCAGGAAGCAGGCGCGGTCCTGCTGGTAGCGCTCCCGGGTGGGACCCCGCCCGATGGGGCTCCGCTCGTCGGGGCTCAGCACCTGGTCGATGGTGGGGCAGTCTTCGTTGGCCAACGCGGCCGAGGCCGCGTCGCCGTTCTGCTTGGAATCTGTGCGGGGAGGGGCAGCGGAGAACACCACTAAGACTCTCTGGCACCGTTTAAAACACTGGGCCAAAACGGAAACTATCGAGGGCACGCGCGCGAGCACGCCGGCACCCCCTCAGACCCTCAGGCGCCCCATCCACACGTTGCGACGCACATTTCTGAAACACTGGCGCGCGCGCTCGGGAGGGAGCAGCCGTGAAAAGGAGCGACGCGGTCAAAACGCGGCTCAACGTCCCGTCGGAATAGCTCCGGAATCGGGCGTGGCGGAACGACAGGCTGGCAAAAAGTCCTCCCGTCGGCGAGGCGGGCGAGATTTTGGAGCGAGACGCGCCGACGCCAAACGGGCGACAAAAGCGAAGGAGCTCACCTCTGTTGATCTCGATAATTTCTTCCTGGGCGAGAGGACAGTCACCCCCCAAGCCTCCGGAGCCCATCACTCCGCCGAGGACGTTTCCCAAGAGCCTTTGCGGCGAGGCGGTGGCCATGGCCAGGGCGTCGGGCTTGCAGTAGTTGGGCGAGCCCGGCTGAGGCGCCCTGGGAATGTGTTTGTTCTTCTTTTTGGGCAACTTCTGTTTGGCCATGGCCAGCGAGTAGTACATGCCGAAGTTGTTGACGATGACGGGGACGGGCATGGCGATGGTCAGCACGCCGGCCAGGGCGCACAGGGCCCCCACCAGCATCCCGGACCAGGTCTCCGGGTACATGTCCCCGTAGCCCAGCGTGGTCATGGTCACCACGGCCCACCAGAAGCCGATGGGGATGGTCTTGAAGTTGGGG